CCTCATACACTCTGCCTATATCTGACGTCGGCGTCAAAGCATCTAATCCGTCTAACTTAGGCTCCACCCATTTAAAGTCACCGTATGGCATGTGCTGTGACATTGCCCATCCGTACAAATTGTTACAATCTTGGTAAACTATCCATGACTTGGATTTTGTTGGGTCATAATCTTGGATTTTTTCATTATTAGCTTTGGCGTACCTCATACTTGCTTGTGTGAGGCCACCGCGGATTGAATTTTCGAAAAATAAGTGGGTGTCAAAATCAGAGAGTAATTCTAGTTTGACTTTGGTATATTTCAACATACAGTCAAAACTAAAACCTGGAGCTGTAAAGTAGTAAACAGGGTCTAAATTGTACGTAGAAATGCACATGTCTCTGAAATTTTCGAACACGTCGGCCAACAGCAGCACGTCAATTTTTAGATATAAATCACTATATTCTCCTAGGGTTTTGCATTTGAAATGGTCCCATACTGTGACTGCGTGTTCGTATTCCTCATCGTCTATATGTGATTCGTGCAGTGAACTGTAAAAATCTTCTTTTCGAGGTAAAATTGTTTCTTCTAACTTTTCCCAACTATCGGTAAATTCGTAAGGGTATACACCCTTACGTGTGACGAGATTCATATCTCTGGGTATGAATGCTTTTGAGGTTTCTTTAAACTTCTCGAACCCTGGTGTTAATAAATTTTCTGCGAGTGTTGATAACTTTGATGCCATGAATCGATTAGAGTCTATGAATCGAATTGAAAAGTTGTTGGTAACGTGTTTTGAAAATGAAATGTATTTTTCTTCGCTGTTCGGAATCACTGAGATTGATTTAGTGTCATTTCCGAGTTCGGTCACGATAAAATGTGCATCGTAATTAGACATATTGTGTAAAAAGCACGGTACAAAGTTAGGTTTTTGGAGTTTCAAGTTGCAAGTATTGCATAAAGTTTGCCTAAATTTTCCTGATAGATGGCAGTGATCTGCCACCTTTTGGTTTTTGTTAGAAAAATTACATTCACATAGATTGCATGTACTTTTCGATACATGTGCTATTTGCTCTTCTTCTGTCATTATGATGGGTTTATTTGTTTTAAGTAAATCTTGAACTCTTCTCGCGATCTCTGTCACTTCATTAACGAAACGTTTGGCTACATCCTGGTGTGACTCGCTTCCGCGATGAATAATAGTTGATGTTGGTATCTCATATTTCTCAAGCAAATCAACGGGGACGCTTTCTGAAGCCTTTACGAAAACTCCATAGCTCATTGGCTCGTGCTTTTGAAAAGCTGCTGTTTTCTTGCCTTTTATTTCGTCACATTTAACAAGGAGTGCCTCGAAATCGGCATATATAGCGAATGGATGTCTTTGAGCGTTACTCCACGCATCGAACTGCAATAATGTACCAGGCTCAGGCATCTTAGGTAGAATTGGCTTATGTGCTCCACATATCAACTTATGTTGTTCAAGCCCCGCCTGACCTTTTAACTTATATTTTGTATGTATATTGTCAAAACTGGTAAAACATCGTTTGCAAAATACAACATTTTCGGTGTGTGATGTTTTTTGTGATCTCACAAGTCTCGAAAGGTTAGAAATGTAGGTGTAGTGGCTTTTATTACCATCAGTAATTAGTAAGAGATCAGAATGATATTTTTTTTCTTCATCCACAACCTTAAGTGGATAAACAATATGTTTCTTATTCTTTTCTTTTTTTAATCCATAAACGTTGACTGATATTTTCGGATTATTTTTTTCAAATGTTTTTATTTCCCTCACAGGTGTTGGGAATGTCAAACCAGAAAAATTATAATTGTCCTCGAGCGATGTATAATTTTCAGCCACTTGATTTTTGGCATTGCCCGAAACGTGTCTTGCTAGGATTGCCCACTTGAAGCACTGTTGGTCCGAGTTTTGGGGATTGATAATTGCTTTTTTATTTTTAATGTCCTCTGGAAGTGTAATATAAGACGAACCACACATAGGCGTATAATTATATACTCCCAACAGTAAACCATCTATTGATTGTAACGTAAAACCACTTCCTTTAGAAGTATAAATTTCTTCTTCTAACAAAAGATTTGCAAAATCTTGATTAATTTTAGCTTCGATATCTGTATCTATAAACAATTCCTTAGCTGAGGTCTTAAATGCTCTATTCTCTGCTGAATTTTCCACGTTCGGGCGTTCATATGTTGCTTCTAATTTAAGATTATATTTAATTGGTTGTTTTGTTGATAGTGATTTGAGTAGTTCTATTAAGTCTTTTTTTATTGATTCTAAAAATGTTCTGTAGGTGGTCAAATTATCTGTATTTTTCACGTAATACCAATTGATTTTATTCGATAACGATGTGCCTGTCTTAATGAATCCTCGTGTCTTGACGATGCTTATGCGTGTCTTTTTAGCATTTGCTGCTTCGTTCGAATTTTCAGTATGATATGGACGCTTATTACCATTGCGAGATTGAACTGAAAAAAAAATAATTTTACTATTGTATTGGTAAACATTATATGAACGCGTGTTACAGCTTGAAAATCTAAAAAAGTTTTTAATGGGATAGAAAAGATAAATTGTTTTTATAAATATAAACGGTTTTTTTTTAGTAAAAGTACCTGAAGCAAAATTAAGAATTTAAAAAAATGTTAGTGATGTGTTTATCATATAGAAAATACGATTTTTAAAAATATACAAAAAGAGGTAGGTATCAAGCTCTAGTATTACACACATGTATATGTAATATATATATATATAGTTACAGTAATAATACACAACGTTCTTTTGTGTAGCATGAAATAATAGTAACAGTAAGATGTACATACACTGGCGTTCATAATATTTTATTAAAATCTTTAGATAAATAGTCTGCCTATTTATATTTTTATTGGTATTATATTAAATGTGTATATGTTTTTCATAGAAAAATAAGATATTCATATTGTATTATTATATATGTATAAAATGATCCAATATATTTATTAAAATATCTGTTTATACTTAAAAATATAATATATAATAAATTAAAATTATTTATGTATGTTTTTAATAGCGTTATGATAACAATCGTATGGAAATATTTTCAAATACTATATTATTACATGTATTTATCAAAATTATTGAACAATTTTACGAACATTTTTAACATATATATATATAGGTACATATGATCTTAACGGGTTAACTATGATGATTATAGGATTTATCACGATTTTGTCTACATTTCTATGATTTTATACAACTTAGTATATTTTTATATTTTATATTTTTATAAAGTAATATTTATTTTAATTCAGCGATAAAGTAATAATTGTACATGAAGTGTTCTATTTTTTTATAAAGTATCTAATATATTTATAATTACCTAAGTAAGTTATATATATATATATAAAGTTATGAATAATAATATATTTACCATTATAATCGTAAATGTGTTCAGCTGGTGTAAAAAAGTCTTGAATTTCTTGCTTGGTTATGGTTGGTTGTTGATGAATTACAATATTTGAACCTAAAAAATAGTAATATTTTGGATAGGTACTTGAAAAAATGATTCATCGAATAAATTACACTTTGTTTAACACATTTATTATATATTACTTTTAGATAAGTTTTAATGTAATAATTAAACATGATATACGTAGCCTTGATCATATATATATATATATATTTTATCTAATAAATCTGTAAATAGTTAAAAAAAATACTTACGATGTTTATCCTTAGTATGTCTGATGAGGTTATCTTTTCGCGTGAATATTTCTGAGCATATATTGCATGAAATCTTTTTGGAAACATCGTGTGACTTGGCATGTCTGTGTAGATTTTTAATCATTGTAAAGGTTTTACCACATATACTACACGGGAACATGATTACGTTTGATGAAAACTGAAGAATACTAGTCGAACTCACGAAACAAGTCTTTACCCTTCAACGAATAGATGGGTAATGAATTATAGAAAAATATACTGTACTTTAAATAGGTAACAGTGTGAAATAGTTTTATCTGAGCAAATTATTAACGTATGCGCTAATATCAGAACTAGTGGTGAAAAAATGAACTACGGTGTTCATTAAAGTAAAATAAATAATTTGATTTTTATAATACTTGTAAAATATTTGTATACACTTTAAAAACACTTAATAACTCTGAAATAACTCGACTTGACACTTCAACGGTAGTAAACGGATTGATCTCATATTGCTCTGTGCACTATACATTATGGCTGGAATTCATCGACAATACTCGGATGTGTCACTACAGGCTTGTACAGGTCTGTAGTCGGATGATGTTGTTAGGGTGTGAGGACGGGTGGTGGGGGTGTAAAATATAATTTAGGGTGGTACTCTGTTGGATTGGAATGTCTTATTGCTTATAACTGTGACTATGTATGAGTTTGTGTGTGTGTGTGATACATTTCGATGTATAACGTATGCTTTAGCGAGATGTTTATTCGAATTTGATTATAATTTGAAAATGGTATAATATTTTTAGATATATGTTATGTTGTTACCTTATATTATATTATGAGTATGTATGTATGTATGTATGTATATGTGTATGTATGATATAGTCGAAACATGGTACATCAGAATATTATATTTATATTTTTTAAAAGGGTAGGTAATGTATTTGATTAGGAAGGGGTAAAATATATGTCAGATAAGGGTTCGAAATAGTCGAAACAAATGTACATCAGAATATTATATTTTTTTTTTAAAGGGTAAATAAAAGGGGAGGTAATGTATTTTAAGGAGAAGGCGTAAAATATATGTCGGACACGTGTCGGATCGGGTTGGCGTGCGACGAGTTTATGTGTGTTGCGGGTTGCCTATATTGAGTAATTAATACAAGTTTGGGAGGAGGCTGTACTTCGAATTGCCTATACAGAGCAGCCTATGATTTTACATGTAAAATTTAAGGGGGAGGAGCTCCAGAACATACATAATCATCCTACTTATGACAATGATACTTCCACGATTATATTTCATATATTTATGGTATTTTCATACATGTCAGCATTGTTTGGAGCCATCATAGCAGATTCATATTGGGGGAAATATAAGTAAGTAGAACTAACAGAATAATAGCCTCTAAAATATTTTTATTACTTAAGTAAAAGTGCTGGCACTGCACCTCTGTGTATATAATAATGGGTGTACCTATTATCAATTCCAAAAACATGTTTAAAGGTTCATGGGCTTACTGCTTATAGTGACTTAGGCCTCAGACGAAAGAAGAATTTGACCTCCTTGAAATTGCTCAAGAAACACCACTAGAAATCAAAATTATATAATTAAATGTTAGATTCGTACTGGGGAAAATATAGGTGGGTAAAATAAACTAAAGCGATACCCATATTTATTATTTGTAAGTATCTATATAATTTTTAAACTTGTATCTTAAAATTTTTATAGTTTTACTCCGTGCCGCGAAGGTCCTAAAAAGTTGATGTTGCGAACTAAACTCAAATTATTATACCACCCACCTCACATGGACCATACGTCCATACCAGTAAACACATTTTGCAACAGTGCATTATGACACTATAAATACTATATATACGATAGACGATAGTATAATTATTTATAGGTGCTGACGTCCTGTTACATATTATTCTCGCACCCACTCCACCCACAATATTAGTAGGTTAGTAGGTATGTCTTGACGGTGACACTCGAATTGCTTCCCAAATTTAGGAAGGTCGAAGGTGACCTTTTTTTACTCGAATTGCCTCCCATAACTTACTTGGATTATTAACTAATATATCGATAGTTGTACGTGTACCTACTATATCGATTATTATATTATTCCGTAATGTTCAAAAAGAAAATGTTTAAGACGTACAGTAGCTATTTCCCAGACTGATTCATTTTTCGAATGCAATAATCTTATCTGCGATTAGTGTTTCTCAGTTAATGATTAATCTATCATCACCAGTTCAACACAGTCAGTTTAAATTTGATGTGTTTAATGTTACTAACTGTTACTGCTGGGTCAGTCTATTTATTAAAACATTTATTTTATACAAACAAAAGTTTTTGACTGTATAACAGAATGATATTTTATCTAAATAATATTTGATATATTTTTTTATAAATCGATGAATTATAGCTGTCGCAGACGATTCCAGACAAGAGGGTCACTGCCTAAAAGTGGAGGCAATTCGAGTGAATAATATTTTTGAAATCGGGAGGCTATTCTAGTAACCTTTAAATAAAAAGGTGCTCTGCTGTACAGTAGGTTACAAGTGGGTTAGTGGTTACTGTATAATGGATAGTATTAAATTTGAATTTAATGATATAATATCATTGTATAAGAAAAACGATTCTGAGCGGAGACGGTATGTCAGTCTAGGTAAAAGACATATAATATACTTATTTATGATCTTAAAAAAAAATTGACCTATAATAGGTACCTATAATATATTCCAAATTAATCATATCACAATATCCATTAGGTACTTATAACGCGTTATACATCAACAACAAACCCTGATAATATCATAGATATATAATAGTGTACTTTAGAAGTTTCAAGTACCCACGAATAATATTATACAATCACAACAAATTAACTAAAATAGTTATTCTAGGTTTTTTATGCAATTTCGTCCAAATTTGAACTTAAAACGACTATAAAAATAAACTGCGCTTATGTATTTTTTAAATTTTTGGTAACAGAATTAACTACTCACGTGGAATCTTGTTTTCAATTTATAATCCCTAGTTATAAAAATCGAAAATTTTATAAATTTTTAACTACAAATAATTATTAAATTTTAAATTTGATACATTTTGTCAAAATTCCAACTTTAAATGCTTATAAAAAAAATTGTGCCTATGTATTTTCAATGTTTTTCAACTGATATTGTAACAATATATCAGGAGTCTTGTATTACATTTTTACACTTTTTGGCCCAACAGATAAACTTAATTGATATTTATAGAAAAAAAACTAAAAAAATTGAAAACTGAAAATGTCAGTAAACAGCTCAAAAAGAGTCAAAATATTTTCAAAATTTTATGGTGTATAGAAAATGCTAATTTAAACATTTAGTGAAATTTTCAAGTATCTACAATCATTCGTTTTTTAATTACAACAAAATAAGGAAATCGCTACATTAGAAATCGAGTGAATATCCAATGTTGTAAAAATTTGAATTTCAAACTATTTTAAAAATTTAATTTGACTTTCTTATAGACATTTTTGACTTGTCTTATTATGCCCCAGAATCCAGATGGACTAATTATTTTCAATTGAATATTATTTAATAAATAATCAATAATAAATAATAATACTAAGCCACAGAAATATATAAATATATTAGAATAGCTTTTTTTAAGAATTAATAAATTATTCTTGCCTTAAAATAGAGTAGCATTTTTAACAAATAAGCCATTTTGAGAAGAAAATAAAAAAAAACACTGATATTGTGCCATATCAATCAGTTATCATAAAATTACTATCAAAAATCATCTAACTCGCCTTCATAAAATATTCTAAAGAATAGTTTCAAACATAAGTTTACTATAATAGTGTCTCGTGCTCACATCTCACCTAGTATATATTTTCTATATAATAATATAAAGTAGTTAATATAATTTTATTAGTTTATTTTCCAACGTACAATTAAGTTGTAAGCTGGATTTATATTTGATACACAGCGTATTACATAAATAATCTAAATATATAAAAATGCATGAATCCCTAAGCTTCCCTTGGTCACCCCATAACTCAAAAACGGCTTGACCGATTTTGCTGATTTAGTCTTTGTTGTGTTCGTTATTATCGGGACAAGGTTTGTATGAAAGAAAAATTGAGGAAAACCCACCGGTAAAGAAGGAAAAATTTTTGCAAAAATACAACAGTGGTGCCATCTGCGTCCAGAAAAAATATCAACGAAATAATAAAATATTTTTGTTTATTGCATAAGGTTACTATATTGGTTGTGATTGGATATAATTTTAGACCTGTATATTATATTTGGTCAAAACCATATAACTTAGTAAAAATGGTATTCCTACGGTAATTTTTTGACTATTGTCTCGGGAACAACCTACCAGGCTACACGCCATACACATCATAAACAACGTGTTAATAAAACCTTCATATAATTAGGTACCCACCTCGCGGGGTCTGCAATCCACCGCGAGCGGATTGCCTACCTAAAAAATATACTTCTCCTCGCATAATCACAACTTACAAGCGTGTCTCACGGGTAACGCCGGGCTGGATGGCTATAATGTAATATAATCGAACGTGTCATGAGCGACTCACTACTATTGATCAATGTAGAGCCCAAATATGATAACTTGAGGCTTGCAATTTCCACGGTACCATTGTACCACCATGTAAGTGTGCACTAAGAAAACAGCTTCAAAAATTTCTCATTTTAAAGTGGTGCTTGCACAAGTATATTGAGTTTCAAGATGATGAACGAAAATCTTGTTCTATTCGTTATTTAATATTCGGTGTATGGCGTTCAAAACTTTACAATGTTCATAATAATATATTTATAATATGTTTTATATTTTATTTTATTTTGTCACTTGTTATATTATAAGATCTCTTTCTCATATAATATATATTATTTATAGAAACATATATTTCTATTATGCTTACATTTTCAGAACTATCTTCATCTTGTCTATTGTACACGCAATTGGAAATATCTTAGTGGCTATTGCATCTCTTGTCACGTCAGTCAGTTTACAATTTCAGAGGTATTATGATTAAATGTTTACATTGAATAAGTACCTATTGTTCGGGCCGAACGGCGATTGTTATTTTTATCAAATAGAATGTACGGTAATTAGAATAATTAGTTTTTTTTCTACTTACCTAATAAATTAAACACTACAATTCGGTAAAGACTTGAATGCCATGTTTTTACTTAGCGAATTATTTATTGATTTTTACTTTGATTACATTTGTCGAGTTGTCGGTAGACTTAAGTTTTAATTTTTAAAATACAACGATCAGTCATGGAACCCCTGTCTCATGTTCTTATCTTTTAATTTACATCCGATTGCTATTGATCGCCAATTTTAGAAATTAAATTAATTTAATAGAAATTTCTATTCAATTTTTCGAACATTATTTTCTTTTCGACTTTTGTATTTATACAATATTATACTGTAATCAATAAACGTATTATTACTAAACTAAAAAATTAATTCAATTTCACTAAAAAATTGTATTATACAACTCTGCAGATCATTTACAATAGTTGGATTATTGTTAACATCAATCGGAGCAGGTGGTATAAAACCATGCGTCTCTGCTTTTGGCGGTGACCAATTTGTTCTGCCAGATCAAGAAGATCGTCTGCAAATGTTCTTTTCAATATTTTACTTTGCAATCAATTTAGGGTCATTGTTATCGTCGTCCATTACACCGGAGCTGAGAAAATCAGTTCAATGTTTTGGCAAAGATTCATGTTTTCCATTAGCATTCGGGGTTCCTGCTATCCTTATGTTGATCTCAATAGGTAAGATATTTACTATAAATCATAACTCTTCGATATCCTGAGGAATGACTAGAAAGCTAATAACTATATTGTTTATTAAAATGTAATTAATTACATAATATTTAATACAATATATTAATATCATGCCTTTAAATTAACGAAATTATATGACTTAAACCAAATACATAAGTATATACCTACGTCCTACAGGCTACAAGGCTACAACAAATTAAAAGTTTATAAAGGTAGTTAATTAGGTTGTACCTATAGTACGCGTTCGCTATTTCTTAGCAACACTATTACACTAACATTTCGTTAAAATGGTATAGTTATACCCATTACCTTGGTAAGACCTAAATTTACCTAGTAGATACTAGGTACATCTGTACATACCTATAATTACTGATTATGATTACTAATTATGAGGTATTGTTTTGCATACTTTTTGTTATTGTATTTATTTACTTTAATACGTTATAAACAATATTATTAACGCTATATAAAATATTTATATTCTATTTATTTTTTTATGAATGTTGAGTATTCTTTGTAAGTGCCAAGAACATGTATAAGATCAATAAACCAACGTCCAGTATCATTACTACTTCAATTGGATGCATATTTGTAAGAGTAATAAATTAATAGCTTTAAAAAAAATACCTACACTAAATATTTATATTTTATACCTGTACGGCTGTACCTATAAGTAATTAAGTATAAACTATAAGCGCAACTAGGATCAATTTTTTCGTGTTTTCTTTCGTGGGGTATGGGGTTGCCCTCTTAATATTTTCTCCATACTAATCTTTGACCTCTACTAAGTTGATATATTTGCAATGTAATAAATATAATTTTATAATATTACATCCAGCACATTGTATACCCCATTTTTTCCTTTAACAATTTATTTATTAATTTCTGATTATTGGAATTTTTAAGTATATGTACTTAAGGAATAAGGACCATACTTTCAATTATTATTTAGATTTATAAGTACAAAATCAGCTTAATAATTAACAGTAAAAAAGGTCCCTCCTCTAAGTCAGCAACCATTTAGTTGCGCTTACATGGTTATAATATAACGTGTCAAATACCTTCAGTATAAAATATGATATAGGCACAGAATATGATGAACATTACCTATAGTATCGTATTATACCTTTGTTTTCCATAAAAGCACGCATTGAAGAAGAAAATAACCACTTCTTCAAATGAAGAGAAAAGGAAAGATTGGTTGGAATATGCAGATGATAAGTACAACGCACAAGAAATATCTGATTTGAGGTCAGCATTAGACGTTATGTATTTGTTTATTCCAGTCCCAATGTTTTTCGCACTTTTTGATCAACAAGTAAGATTTTCGTTATTGTATTTATTGTATTTTTTGTTACCATATATTATAGTAGGCACCAAACTATTTATTTTAATATTTTATATCAAATTAATGAATGAAAAAACTAAATAAATGTTTACTTGTTAAATTAATTGACTTTTTAGGGATCTCGTTGGATTTTGCAAGGAACGCTAATGAATGGCAAGATCGATTTTTTAAATTGGATTTTAAAGCCTGATCAAATACATTTAATTAACCCACTGTTCGTATTAATATTTATACCACTTTTTAATGCTTTCGTCTATCCCCTTTTGTATAAAATTGGTATAAACACAGCATTACGAAAAATCACTGTTGGTGGAATGTTTACTGCATTAGCATTTGTCTGTGCTGCAGTTGTCCAATACACCATAATTGTAAGTACTTAATAATAATATTACATTATGTAAATTTTGACAGTAATAAATAATAAATAGTAAAAATTGTAATAAATAGCAAAATATGACAAAATAATTACGGAAAATTAAAATTTTGAAGCACGTCAGTTTGAGCTGACCAAAATTGTATCCAATTATCTCTTAAATTATTTGTAACTTTCAAAATAGCCATAGTTTTTGATTTTCTTGAAATGGTTAACATTACAAAAACGGATTGCAATCATCTAAATCAAACTATACATAATGAAATGCCGACTTATTTGAATAAAAACCGCTAAATAGATACAAAGACATTTTGGAGATTTTATGACAATATAATTTTAAGATTACTAAATATGTATACTGTATAGGCACTATTTTATATTTTCACCCAGCAATGTTAAATTGTTAATTTAAAAAGAACTGATTCGTAGATCTAATTTTTAAATATTTATTTATATTCAATATTCATAGGTACAATAATAACTGTATCCCAATGGCCTATGTCGCCTAGAGTAATTTTTTATTAATAAAAAAAAAAATTGTTTATTATGAAATTATGATCCAATAAGCGGTCCAAGCCGAATAAATATGTGGTCTACCACGGTAATAATATTAATTAATAATTATTATAGTATATTAGTATATTCTGCGGTTTACCTACATTATGTATATAATATATAAAAACACATGTGTGCATTTTGTTTTCGTTATTGGAAGATAGCCTTAGCTTAGATTATTTTTAGTTTACATTTTGACGTCAAAACGAATACAAGTAATTTTGCTCGGGAAATAGGTGTTACATTCGTAACTCAAATTTTAAAACCAATGTTTTCAGGGGCAAACCTTTGAAATACCATCAAATGAAGGCCAATTAAGAATATACAATAATTTTGATTGCAAAGTAGCCATATCCGGATCTTTGGTTGGAAACTTCAGCATTGAAAAATTAGATGTACTTCATATCAATTATAGTTCTAATGTATTTAATGAAACCGATGTCTTATCCATAGACTTACATCCGACGTGCGATTTAAAAATGACTTCTTTGAAACAACACGTTTTCATCGACAAAGGAAGGGTTAGAATAGAATTATTATTATGATTTTATCAACCGGCGTTTAGCCATTTAACTACGGCCGTACAAATGACAAATGAACACTTATTTAATTTAAGGTTTCGTCATATTTGTTGACGTCTAAGAATAATGTCGATATTGAATTAAAACATTTGAACGAATTGAAGAAACTAAAGAACGGAAATTCAAATCTTAGGTAAATATCTAAAACATGGGTAAAACGTAAACCATCAAAGATTTATAATAACTCTTAATACATTATACATATTATTTGATATTGGAATAAATATTACACATATAGTTTATTAGAGCATATTCATTTTAATTAACATATAAATATATTATAATATTATTATTACAATTTACAAGGATTTTGCACGGTAATTTCTCCGACCAAAACATTGCATTTAGGATTACTAATAATACATTGTCAGAATTAAGTTTCAAACTTTCAACGAACCAAGATCAAAATTATGAATTACCTGTCGGAACGTAAGTATTACCTACCTAATTATACTTATATATTGAGTACCTACCCTTAACTATTGAATTAATTTATAACTGACATTTATACTTTTAGTTATGACATATATTTGGATAACGAATCTATTTTGGAAAATGTTGATTTTCTCCCTGCTAGTATTAATGACCTATTATTTCACCATAACTTTAACCACACGGTTGGTAATTAATTTAAACTCAAATGTAACATAAAAATTGTTGTTATAAATTGTATTGTTTGCAATTTTAGAATGCCAAGTTGATCACTTTAGAAAAAGGTAAATATATCCACATTCTATGGCAAGTTCCTCAATTGATTTTAGTTACAGTAGCTGAAGTAATGTTTGTGGTTACATTATTGGAATTCTCATTCACTCAAGTAACATAATTAATACATTATTTATTAGTATTAAATAAATACTTACTTTAAGTGATATTAATTGCTTGATAAACAGCTGGATGCTGATATTGGTATTAGTATTATTATTTAATTATATAATTTATATAATTAATTTTTAGGCTCCATTGAGTATGAAGTCATTTCTTTCAGCAATCAATTTATGTACAATAGCAGTTGGAAATGTACTTATAGTTCTTATCTCGAGAATTGAACTATTTGAAAATCAAGTATGATATTAGTGATAACTGATAAGCAGTGAATGTATTGTTAACCTAAATTTTTTTTAGGGTCACGAGTTCCTATTTTATGCAGGTTTAATGTTTTTGGATATGATACTTTTTATGGTAATGAGCACCAAATACAAGTATAAATGTATAAACACATACAATAAACCTAAAGAATAAACAGCAGATTCTAAATGTACTTCATTTAGCATAAGGAAAGACATAGTTTTTCCATTAAATATATGTGAATACCTATTAAACTATAATATAAATAAACATGTTTGTCATCATAATTAGAACGAGTGTAATATCTAATTTATTGTACATAGGTGTCAATACATATTGACATAATTTACTAGGTAGGTATAGCTATAATAGGCATACAAATTACAAGGTAGATTTACAGGCATGAATATGTTTGATATATCTAGTAAAATCTTAATTTTCCCATGACAGATGAGAAAATAAAACAATATTGTATAATATTATAAGAACCTATATTTTTTTTTTACAAATTAATACAAACATTTTTTTGTGCATATAGGTTCACATAATTATAACTAACAAATTTAATATAGGTACTATACAATCGTCAATATTATTCATGTTCATTAATTGTTATTTTATAAAAAATAAAACAATTTATAAAGACAAACAAAAGGTACCTAGTATAGATTTAGGTGGGTATATTTTATTTACTTATAAAACGACGAATAAAGTTGTGGAGATATACGTTTAAAATCTTGATCACTAAGCATAGACCATTTGTCCAATCCTAAAGACAACGAAATTTCTTCTTCTACTATTTCGTACGATGTGCTGGACTTTTTCAACCATTGGTAAAACTCATCCGACCAATCGTTTTGTCGTGGCCAATCGCATCGTAAGATAACAGCATTGCGACGGACGTGTAAAAATTTTAACGAGTGACCATAGTATGAAATCAATAACAATGTGCACGTAGATATTTTTTCTCTAATTATCTACGAGTAAAATTCAATTATAAGTGTGAAAAAAATATTTCTGGAGAGAATAATAAACTCACCAAGGTATCCAGCTTAGGACAAAACTGGACTAGGTTTACCAAGGTGGTGTCAATTCGCTCTTTGAACGACGATGGTTGATAGAATTTCGGGAGTTCCAGATAACCAAACGTCAGCAATCGATCAGAGTATAATTCGATTGCTTTATTTAAAATTTCATTGCTCATCTATACATGTATAAATTCAAAAAAAGCTTTTTAACTTATATATTTATACACTATACACTATAAGTGTATATATTATTTTGTATTGCTAACCCGCATGTTTGGCGATTTATAAATTATGCTTGAAACTGGTGAACTAGGTTGCCATAAAATCTGTCTTTCTCTGATGGATTCCACCCTGAGATGTACTTTTAACGTTGGGTTTGTCTTAACACAATGTTTCCAGTCGAACGAGTTCATGGGTTCGATGTCAATGGGCGTATAACGGTTTTGGAGTATGTGCAAGTGACTGAGTCTGATTTGACTCAGCATTAACAACAAATCGCTACCTAGATTCTGAGGACTAATCACCAATATCTATAAACAAACGGAAATTACATATCTCGTTACTCATTGGTCCGTGGTCTATAGATATCTAGTAGACTTCAAAACAATAATAGGGATCAGTGGCGTAGCCATGATTTTCTTAGGGGGGCTGATCAACTTTTACACTTTTACACATTACCTACATAAGTTCTAGCACAGATTGATAGCTGTAAAGTGTTAATACTTATAGTAAATTTTTAAATATATTAAATAGAATTTAAGACTTTTTGAGCGACTATCATAGACCATTAAAATAATTTAAAATTGTCTTAACATTACTGGTGGGTGGGGGGGCTGCTGCTGCAGAACTCTCAGCCTCCCTGGCTACTCCACCGATAGGTATTATAGTCTATATAAACATCGCTATATTATTTGAATTAAAGTCTTTTAAAGAGTGTATTGCGAACCTATTTGTACCTGTAAATTAATAAAAGCTCCGGGGTGGAGCAACTGGCATAGGTATTTAGTAGTATTCACCAACACTAAGGTTCTCAAAGTGGTGCAACAGTAGAAACACACTTGGTCCAATAACGTCTGTGCGTCTTCGTTGTCCAACATCAAATCAATCAGCTCCAATCTCACAAGTGACGGCAAGTTTCCCATCAATCTTTTTAGGGCTTCCAAAAGCTTACCTAAATATAACTACATATCGTCAAGACGTGGACTCGTACGTAGGTATATAGTATTGAATAATAGTATTAAGCAGGTATAAAATATAGGTATTGTATTTAGCAATACAATACCTATATTTAAAACCAAATAGGAGGTACCTATGGGCTATAGGTATACTTTATACAGCGAATACAAACCTCCTGTGCCGTACAAAACCGATTCGTCGATGCGTGACGTCGCCATGTTGCACGGGAATGTGTACTGTAATGTGCTTATTCTGGATCCTACTCCTTGGCCATGTTCCGCATAGAACGATATCATGTTCATGAACTCGTATAGGTTATAAAAATTGGTAATCGGCTTGAACACCAGAACTTTGACGTAACGGCCAATGGACTGAAGGCACAATTGCACCCGTAGATGGTCTAACATGTACTGAACAACAACAATGTAATGCGACAACTGTTTAGGTATATATTTTTAGAATAATATGCACAGTTAACAGTATGAGAATCGTTTGTGTCGTTCAATAAAATGTGTATATGTCTGTACGATATTTTTGTATGATTAAATCGGTACTTTCTTTTGTTTTTGTTTCGGAAAATCTATTCATTGTATTTTCTGTACGGATGAATTAATGGGATCGATGAAAATTTAACTCGGTATTCATCTCAAACCTAGTACGTACGAAAAAAAAGTTGCATCTATATAATGAAATCGTTCATTTAATTATGAAGTTATTTGATTTTTAAAGGTACTTGGTTGCTATTAGAAAATGTTGTACCCAGGGGCGGACCCAGGGGGGGGTTTTGGAGGTCAGCTGACCCACAGTTGTTTTCCCAGTTAAATGTGGCCCCTCGAGATGGAAAACTATATAAACATTTTTTTATTTGAAAAAATTATGTACAGTGGTGAATTTAGAGGAGAGGCACGTGCCCCTTGTCAATTTTCTGTCGACAAGTTGTTATGTAACTACGAGTATCATATAAATGAAACATTCAGTTGATAACGATAATACTACCAACTATTAATTATTACTTATTATAATCATTATTGATAGTATGTATGTATTATTATAATTAAAATTAAAATTATACAATTTATATGTGCCCCCCCCCCTCAAAATATCGAAGATCTGCTATTATGATATAGGGGTATATCGTATATACAGCTGTGAAGACTGAGTATTGAAGTAAAATAACGCGTACGAAATCGTGTTTAAGCTTATCAACTTATAATGTAGGTACGTACCTAAAATTCGATAAACACAAGTATAAAAATATGTTGGATATAGATATTATATAAGATTTTATGAAGTTGACGTAGATGAAATTGATATAGAAGTGGAATACCGTTCATTACATCTAGTTTACCAACAAATGGCAAAACTATTGAAACTGGAGTAACTGGACCTTTAAAATTAAATGATGTATTGAAAATTTATGATATCACGAGACATGGTTTCTTCATATCCAAATTTATATACTTTGTATAACATTTTTTATACACTACCAGTCAGCAGTGCAACTGCAGAAAGAAGTTTTAGCGTTCTAAAACTTCTCAAAACATGCCTTAGCTCAACTATGACTGAAGACCGGCTATCAAATTTGGCCATATTGAGCATAGAAAGCAACATAGCTCAAACCATTGATTTTGTTAACGTAATAAGTACATAATTCGCACTAATGAAAAAGCGCAGAAAATGATTGTAATGTTCTAGTTCTTTACTATTATTTTCACGTAGGTATTATTAAATATAAATTTTATTAATGTATTATTTTTGACTTTTCTAATGTATTAGAATTTAGAACTACCTATTCTATATCTCTTGTAAAAATGAAATCAGTCATTGAAAACTAAAATAAAATAAATATACTGCAAATATACTTATACAAATAAAATAATAAATTTGTAAAATTTCTTCTAATGATTTAAATATGTCAGGTAAATTTTTTAATTGAATATACATTTTAATGCAACAAATAATAAAATAAAAATAAATTAAATATAGCTATTAAAGCTTGTAAGTAAATTTTACAATTTACTTAAAAATATGTGATATAGTTATATTGAACGTTGGTATCAAAATGTGATGTAAACAACTAATAAGGTAAATCGCGAGCCCAGAGTGACTTTGTAATACCTAACTATATAGGTAGTTGGTTAACGTTTCTACACAGTGGCCTCTCGTAGTCTCGTAAGTAAGGCAGACCCACAGTTCTAAAATCCTGGGTACGCCACTGGTTGTACCTATCTATAATAATGCCGTCCAATTGTATTATTTCATCTTGATCAACTTATACATAGAAACTGGCACATGAAAATTTCGTTGCTATTAGTAAACATATGGATCCATAACAGTTTAATGAATATTGTATAAACTAGTAAATATATAATTCGTGAAATAAATTAATGTTTTTCATTAAGATAGCACGGCGTTAAAGATAGGTAATTATACATGCACCAACCCACCAAAACCCATTGCCCTGGTACATCCGTTTTTACAATTTTACACTTTACTGCGGATATTTTAATACGTATTAAAATATTATTATAATATTATTACGAGTTACTAGTAGTGTAGTAACTCGTAATATATTTATATACGATTATTACAAAAATTAATGGTAAAATAATTTAATTAAAGGTAAATTCTGGTCATTTACAACTGACAGCGTCAATTTTTGGATTCTGAGTGGATCGAGAAATGTATTGATTTCACAATGATGTGTATTACATTTGAACTACTTAGTACAAAAAGTTTATTTTATCAGTCAAAAAGTTTGAAAATGTAATACGAGTTTTCTCATAGGTTTTTCTTATAGCAATATGCCAATAAATATTAAAAAAAAAAAAATTGAAGACACATTGGTAGTCAGATACTCCTTATACGGTATATTGATAAAAAATAACGATTTAAGTTTTTTTTTTTTGGTAATTCAAAAAATATTAATCGTAGAAACTTGAAATATTCTATTATTATTATTTTCTATATTGTTTACTATGATATTTTTATTTTTTTCTGATGGTATCGCCACATGGGAGTAAGGGGTGAACCATTTTCACAATACTTACCCCCTCTATGACACTTTGAAAATAGTTATTTATATCCAATGATGTGCAAGTAATGATTTTTGTAACTTAGTTAAGTTAAGTTAATATCCATAAGTTACAGTTAATTTAATTTTTGGTTAACTCAGTTAAGTTAAAAGTTAATACAAATTTTTTTTATGTACAATGCTAGCTTACTTTATTTTTACCAAACCAAAACTAAATTATAGACTATAGTGTTTATACTTGTCTTTATACAGTATTTCCAATTTCTATGTAGTATATATTTCATTGAAGTTTTTCGTTTTAAAAAAGAACATAAGTTACCTATCTAATAAGTAATAAGTAATAAGTAAGATTGGAAAAATATAAAATTTTTAATTTTAAACAATTCACGGTAAATATTTTTTGACATAAAAACATATATACTGAAACGGTGAAATATAATAAAATTAAAAACAAAATAAAATAACTTAACTTACTTCTTAAAATTAAAAATAATTTGTTAATTGCAAATCAGTTAAAAAAGAAATTTAGAGTTTTGTTTATACCACAAACTTATTCACACCATTCTATAGTATGTCAGTATTGATTTATGAGTTAGTAATAATAATACAATTTGATGTATTTGAAAACAATTAGTTCAACCTAGCATACAACAGTATTATTAATGGTAATATAAATTAATTATAAAATATCTTTAGTCTAACCATTAGCTGCCCTGACTAAGATTTAGATATAAGCCCCCCTATGGGTTATTTTAAATTAATAGTTTTGTTAAGGGGTATGAATAGTATTGAAAAAATCTATAAAAATGTACTTTTGTATTTCCAATAATATGGTTTATTAAGTGGTTTGAGAGTAAAAACACCTATTATCAATATTGTAGAAGAGAAGTTAATCTGTGCCTGTTTAGAAGTCAAATTTTAATATTTGTAATTACTAAACTCAATAATTCAAATTCAAAAAGTAAAATATCATAAGTTTTAGAGTTAAATATTGAACATTGAAAATAAAATATCGAAAATCGACTCCTATACAAGCCTAGATAAACTCCTTCTCTTCAATTTGTATAATAGGTGTTCATACTGTAATGTCACTCAGTAAGCTATATTATTGGAAATACGAAACTAAGTTTCAGTGTTTCACTAAAATTCACATTTGTAATTAGAGTGTAAAATGTTCCGCTAATGACATGTGCGTGCTCGTGCGGGTGTGCTCCACTATTTATTTTATACACAGTCACCCACACTAATAATCACTTACTACGCACACATTTACACGACCCGCATGCACACCATTAGAAAATTGCCTATATCAAACTCCTTAGAAACGGTCGGTATGCATACCCCTTAAGTAGGCTATAACCCCCAGAATTTTAACCCTATTTGCACCCATGCATACCGCCTCTGCTCAGTATCATTTTTGTATACAGTTATTCATATTTGACTTCAAACTTAATATAGTTATTACAGTGACCTACTCAATGACAAAGTACATTCAAAAGTCAAAACCTACAGCAGTCCTATTTTTTTTTATGCTTCTCAAATAAATTAATAATTAAGAAACGCTATCAGAGTCACAAAGCAAACACAGGAAGGACTAAGTTGTTAGTAACGGGTTGTAGCAATAAATTAAAAATTAAAAAAGTCTAACACAATTTATTATTCTATGTTCATGTTCTAACAGATATGAACTAACTACTTATTGTAGGTATAATATATTATTGTAAATTGATTTTTATTTGTTATCATAATCGTCTTCAATTGTGACAATAATGTAACTATGTAAAAATGTTGAAAAGTTTCCCGTTTAAAGAAATATAACTATCTAGATATTTGGACATGATATATTTACTCTATGATATAGATTTAATTGACTTGTTTAGTATAAATAATATCTTTAAGATATACATATAATAAGTAGCTTAATGTACTGAACAGATACACTTACCTGCCATCCTGAATAATAGTTAAACTTTCTCCGGGTGAGGGTCGTGTCGTCAAAAACAAACGTATGCCATGAATATGGTAAATGAAAAACTGAATTCCACAATCTGCATGTTTTTGAAGCGTTATGTTTAGCTCCAATGTCCAGAAACGAGAAAATATTTTCAAGTAACAAATCTGGTAAATTATTCCAATCCCCTTTGTACTTGAAGGTGGTTCTTCCAGTCCTTAGTAGTTTAACTTCTAAAAAATAATCAAGAACCAATTTTTACACACTTATACAATATTATACATTTATAGCTTATACAAACTTGGATTTTTAATGAGCTTTTTATTATTTTCTTCATTTTGCAAGTCCATCTTCAATGTGTTAATGTATATACATTTTAAACACCGGTAAGTGTACATACACTCAATTGGGGCCAATAAACCATTTTGGCACTAGTTCAACATGTTCTACATGTTCTACAATGCACAGGTTGTCTATATTTAACACAGACCTCCTAAATTTTTTTCCGGTCTTTGCTTTATCATCATTATTCTATTTACATTATTATGTTCAAGCAACTATTATCAGATAAACTAACTGTTATGTAAATAAATAAATAAAACAAAATAAATCAAAGGTATTTTATTTAAAGTAAAAGTTAATAAGTCAATAAAACTTAATATAAATAATATAAACTTAATTGGAATAAAATTAAATCATAGGAACTTATTGCGTATAAAAAAAAGTTTAACTATATATTAACAAACAGTTTGTTTTGACTAAATTTAAATTACCTATTATAATAATATAATATGCTATTTGATAAATTATTTCTGCATTTTAAGGAACGTGTAAATAAAATAAAAAATTTAACCAAAACAACTAGGAATCTAAAAAATGAGTGATGCATGCAATCAATTTATAACAGTTTTACAAATCTGAAGGGGTTTAATACACATAGAATAGTTTTAACATGAATAACACGCAATAAATAGGTAGTCTTAAAAAGTAGTCTCTTTAAATATTTTCTTTCTAATGAGCTTACAGCCAGTATTAATGTATGATTACTTTAACACTTGACAGGTGAAAGTTTGATGACAGCATTATCTGGAGACGGAGTAGCCATTAAACGGCGCAGAATGTAATATGTACCCAACAATACAAAACCGTGAGTAATGAGACTCACACATGGAAAATTATTGGTATCACCCACTGGTACATACATTACAACATCTTTGTTAACTTTTACAAAACTGGCCTAGAACATAAAATAATATATATGTTTATATTATATATTATCAGCTATTATTAATTAATTTTATTGTAATAATTTAATTGTTATTGTTTTGGCTGAATAAAAATAAAAATAAAAAATATAGTATAATAAATAAATACCTATCAAGTACAATAAGGTGTTTTTGTGAACAATTTATATTGTGCTTGTGTTTTATTGATTTTGGATTGATTGAAAAATAAAAACATTAGGAGTGGCGTAACAACCTTAGATCATATACTATGGATGTAGCTCCAGCGTATGATTTTGTTGCCGATATATCGATGAGTCACCGAATTAGGTGGGCGATGTGCGCAAGCGCAATGCAACTCCTCGAATAATTGTCCATAGATACAATAGGTATCTGAGGATAAATATGCGAGAAGTCGCGTGGCACATGCGTATATCGACCACCTTTTTATACACATAATATGAATACAAGAGTTAAAAATGATTTTGAATTATTATTATTTAATCAACCAAAACACAATATTCTGTTGCTGCTAACTTAAAAGAAATTCGGATTGAATTACTTTTTGACTCATTTGCTCAATGTGTATTATTGTATAGATGGTTAAAAAATAATGTACACAATGATTTACCTAAATTTAAAGAATTAATTATTTAAATACTTACAGGAATCCATTCTCCGGAATTGAGTGGAAATTGTTTCCAATTAGAAATTCTTGGTCCTTTACATAAGTATAACATTTGAACATCTGAATAAGCGTCGCCGAATCGTACTTCTTTGTAACGACTATCCTCAGCTGCTTTTTGGTATCTTAAATGAATCGGGAATTCTGTTTCTATCAATTTATTTGCCGTATCTGGAAGTGTGTAATTGACAACATAGAGAACAAATGGATCAGATTTATGAGCAGGGGTTTCCACATCAATAAATTTGTTGTCAACATAAAATTCCACCTAAAGAAACATAAGTAATATTAGTTTACTATCAAGAAAATACACAGCGAATACTGACTTTACGATTCAAGGCAATAGTAGCTAACTCATATTTGTCCACATAAATATCGGATGGAAAATCATAGCGTAATGTAACTGCACAGTCTTTACGATTCGATGTTTCATAGTCGGCTGTGATGGTGGTGTGGAGAACTCTGAAATCAGAAACGGTCAAAGAAAAATGAATTTAAGGACAGTTGCATACTATATAATATATTTCGAATGAAAATTGTAGTTATAAGTTATTAAACTATGGACACCTACCTGTGATAACCTTCATTTTTCACTTGCAGATTAATGTTTCCCGAATGAATTGTCAAGTAATGCACTGAATCTTGACTGCCTTTAAACCCATAATACGACACAACAGACGTGACGAATATCAACGAATAAAGAGCAAAGAGAATAATCTTGGTTTTCATGCTTAAACCCATTGCGTATTATACTTCGTAGGGTGTATAATGTAATGAACTGTTTAACTCTTGAGACCCGATAATAACAATAATGTTATTGTGGTTAGATTTAACAATAACTACACAGGACGTGTGTAAGACAGGTACAAATATTTTGGGAATGCGATTTCTTATAATAATATATTAACAACAATCAACAACTATAATTTAAAGAACTTAGTGCGGAATGCTGCACTAATGGAGAATTGATGAACGTCTATGTTAAAAAATATCTTACAACAATGAAATATTGTAATCATCAGACTGTCCACGGTCATTTGAGCAGGCGCCAGGCGTACGAAATTGCTGCGGTTTTGTTGTTGTTATCTCGTTTTATGATAAGACAAATATTATCATTTTCAAATCTTTATTGACTTTTGGTTAGCGATAATGGGAATTATAAAGAGCAAAACGATTCATTCTTCATAATGGCATAATACCAGCTATTGGCCATTACTCAATCCTCGGTCACTCGGGAGCCTCATATTAACATTCATGTTTACATTTTAAATACGAGGTCGTCTACTTCGACGATTACATACATTAAAATATTAATTCGTCTGCACTCTAAAATTATAGTATTATTATGGTCAATGGATATCTGTTGATTCATTAATTATAATAACAGTTCTACATCAAACCGATGTAGAAGATTTTATTTTTAATTCAAAAAACGGTATCGTGTACATTTCTGCACTATGGCTACGGATGAAAAACATTTCTTTCAAAAGACTATCCAGCATTTGGCCCGATCTTTGGCTTCTCAAAAGGAAATACCATGGGAAAAAGTAAATTCATTGTGTTTTATTATTTCGAAAAAAAATACCGAAAGACTATTGGATATTCTAAAGCCGTCTATTAATCTGTGGAAAAATTTTATTATTTTTGACAGATCCAAACAATATATTCGTTATGTCCGCAAGAAGGTCATCAAGGGGTGTTCAAGATGGATCAAAGAGGCCAAGATTCTATAATAGCATTGGGAATATACCTCCTAGAGTCAAACTTTCAGCATGTCGATCACATACTACCTTACTTATTAAAGTTGTTGAATGGCTTAGGGAAAATGCAGTGGGTGGACGAGATCAAGTACTTTCCTAGAGAGAGTAAGCTTTTTATGGCTAATAAATGATTTCTTTTTTTAATTTGATCCATCTATTCTGTTGTTTATAGGAATACCAGTTGCTGAAAGAATGAGTTTTTGTCTCAATACATTATTAACAGATGTCGCAACTCGTTATCCAGTTTCTAGAGAAAAAATAATTGAAGCACAGATAAAATGCCTCAGTAAACTATCCAATATTATTAGATCGGCTAAATCTGACAAGCTAAATGATATAACTAAAAGTATGTTTTTATTAGATATATAATAATTCATTAATATATACTTGCAGAATGTGTAGAAAGTTTCAAAATGTTTTATCCCTTAACGCATTTAAATTTAAAATTGTCTATAACATCTCCAATGTTAAAGATTTATCATAAATTACTGTGAAGAATTTAATAAATATTAAAACATAATTATAATTTTCAGCTACATTATGCAAAGCTACCATTCCATGTTTTATCGGCTTGGCTAGGTCAATGGGACGAGCAACTTTGAGTGACCCCCCACTTTTATGTCGTTTATTTCCAAAACCTAGTGCTCCAATTCAACAAACTCCAGTCCCTATTCCTGATTTAAACATACAAAAAAAGAAAAGTTTCTCAAATTTTCGGTAATATTTTTGTATAAATCTATTTATTATTTAATATAATTAAGATGTATTATAAAAATGTTTTTATTTCAGCTCTATCATTCCTCGATCGTTATCTCTAAATTTAAATTTAGCTTCACTAGACGTAATGACATTAAGTTCGCTGGATCCGATGAATGATCTCAAGTAAATAATTTCCTATTTAAATGAATCAGATTATTTTTACAGATAAGTTTATAATTTATTTGTTTTTGTATATAGTAATAGAATGATATACAAATCAGAATGTAAACTGGGTTCCCAAGCGCCGACCAATATGTCTAATTACTTTTTCTTTAAATACGGATCAAGTTTTAACCAATTTCCATATACAAGATTCACTGACTCATCTATTGATCACAAATCATCAACGTTAATGTTTCCCTTGGGTCACCTACAAGTGAGTTAATATTAAGAATAAGAAAATGTTAATTGTTTTATTGTTATCTTCATAGTCCAAAATTGTTTGTAGACTGTTTTATCGATTGCAAAAAAAATTCTTACCTCTGATGTTTTGGGGTTTGTGGATAGTTTAGCTCTTGAATTTCACATATCTGGAGAAAGCAAAACATTTTGTTATCGAAGTTTTAGTGAAATATTAAATTTAGTCATTGCTTCATTATTGAGAGAATTACTTCAATATCAACAAGGTAAAAACATATTGACAATTTACTATTTCATTGTAAATTTTTTAACTATATTTTAAATTAATATTTCCTCTAGATTTACCATTACCATTTACTAAAGATGTTCAAGAATTTATAAAAGATTTATTCTTGAATGGTCAAACCGAGTTACAGTCTGGTGTATTACAAGAAGCATCCGAACGTGAAGAAAAAGAATTACATTTAACAACAATAAATAAATTTAAAATAAATGTTTTAGCTAATGCAGCTTGTGTAGATTTATTGGTTTGGGCAACAAGGGATGAAGCTGGTAAGTTTTTTTAAATTAATAACTTATAATTCAATAAATTATAAATATTATTGTCTATTGATAATAAAATAAATATATTAAGTATGTAAAATATTAATAGTTTATCATAATATTATTATCCAAATATTTTCCATAATTTAGAAATCCTATATTTTAAAGAAGTTATGCTTTTTATTTCAAATAATTTTGAAAATGATAATGTCTATTGATTACTTAAATTAGGTATTAAATCAATTACTTATTTTATTTAATTAAATTTTAATGTTCAAAATTGCACTAAAATAACTGAATCTGTTTGGGGCTTATAAAAGTATTTATCACTCATTTCTAGGTGCTGATAATTTATGTGGTCGTTTAATGGAAAAAATTAACTCAAGTAATAATGTAAAACAAGCATTAGCACATATGCCATTGATACTAGTTTGTATGGAGGTATTTACTGATTTTTTATTTGTAATTGAAGCATACTCTTTAATAAGTGTATTAAATTTAATTAAATGTGCAAAACAAAATCATTTCAAATTAACTTTAATAAAATTAATATTGGATATTTATAATTTTGTAAATATATTTTTCACAGGGTTTAGGTAAATTATCTGAAAAATTTCCAAGTATAGCCAGTACTTGTATTCAATGTCTCCGTGATTTTCTTGTTCAACCATCACCAATTTTATCGAAATTAAACAAATTTCACTCTGAAAAACAAACACCTAATGGATTAACAATCACAGGTAAGAAATTAAATACATACTTTGTATACTGATTACCAGTGCCGCTCTAACCACCAATAACGCCCTAGGGCAACAATATTTGACGCCCCTCACCCTCCCACCCAAAAATCTCGACTTCGCATTTTTAGCTTATAATTAACCACATACCTTAAATATGTTTAATACTTATTAATTAAAGGTTCCTACTTATTTTTTTAAATATTATTATTGGGATCATATTTATTTTGTTTATATTTGAACACCGATTTCATTATTCTGGGAACACTCGTACATTACAGAAAGAAAATATATATAACTATTTTCACAAATTAGTACCTAGATTTCATTATAAATCATACATTCTGCGTTTCTGCGTGTGTAATAACAGTATAGTATAAGAATCAACATTGTAAATTGCACAAGTGAATATAAGTGATTATAAAATTCAAAGGTGGACATTAACTAGTTGAAAAGTTAAAGTTCAGTTAAAAAGTTAATTTTTTTAAACTTTTTAACTTAACTAGTTAGTTTATTTTCTAATCAACTTATGAACTTAAATAGTTTAATTTACAATTGAAATAACTTAGCTTTTCTCAGTTGATTTAAAAAAATCCATTAAGTTAAAACATTTTGAAATTGTTCGTTTATACTTAAATATTAAGGATTTCGAACGCTCATAAAAATGTAATTTGACTTTCTTATAGACATTTTTTTTTTTGATAAAGGTAGATAATCTTATAAGGAATCTTGTATTACATTTTCAAATCTTACATTTAAAAAGAAAAATTTTTACGAATTCTTAACTCAAAATAATTTGCTAATTTTCGTGATTTTTCCATATTTTGTCAATTTTTGAACTTTAAATGCTTATAAAAAAAAATTGTGACTTAGGATTTTTAATATTTTTCATCTACCTTTGAAACAATATACTAGGAGCCTTCTATTAAATTTTCAACTTTTCTCAACCAACAAATAAAATTTTATTGATATTTTTAAAAAAAAAACTAAAAAAAAATGGAAAATGAAAATGTCCCTAAACAGTTCAAAATTAATCAAAATATTTTGAAAATGTTATCGTGTATACAAAATGTAAATATAAACAACCAGTGAAAATTTCTTGTATATACGTTCATTTCTTTTAGAGTTACACCAAAAATCAAAATCGATTTTTTGGAAAACAGATTTTGCGTAAAAATTCCCGTTTTTCCTTAATTTTTATGTTGTTTTTCCCGGTGCTTGTGAAAACTACTGGGAAATTTTGACCCCCCCACCCCCAAAGTACCAACTAGATTCACTTTCCTATCAGAAAAGATACTGTTGAAGAAAATCCAAGCACTTTTACTGTCCTAAAACGTGATGACAGACACAAAAATAAAAAAAGGTACTACTAGGTACCAAAGATAATATGAATTAGTTTAGTTTATAAGTATATTACTTAATTATTGTAATGATGTATATACATATTTAAAATATATTTCATGTGCTTAAATAAATTACTATTGTAATCTTAATAATCTTATAAATTATAAGTATTAATATTTTTATTTGTTTTTATGAATATTCAATATATTATTATTGAAGTTATGTCGCATTAAGATTTAACACATTATTTACATAACTGTATACCTACTTTAATAGTATACAATTTGATAGATACTCATCTTTGATATTACAGTATAAACAAAAAAATAATACCTAAAATAAGAACACAAAATTTTTCTTTTTATCATCCATTTCTAGTACGCCCCCTAAATTCATAATACTTTAGACGCCCTAGGGCACTTGCCCCATTTGCCCCCCCCCTTGGGACGGCTATGCTGATTACTGATACCTATGGTGCTGGAATCATTTTCTAATATTATGTTAAGTTATAACTTACTAGTAATTAGTAACTTGAAATTCATAACGAAACTATTTTTAAGTATTTTACCATTTTTACCCAGAATCCTGAATTTTGGCAGTATCTGAAATTAAATAAAAAAACTTGTGACATAGCCCTACTGTACAATAGGTTCCACGTGTACCTCATCATTGATTAGACGGTGTGCTTTTAACTTGAATACAATGATAAATTATCAAAGTTAAAAAAAATTGTAGATTGTATTTCTAATACAGAAAAAAAAAATGGGGAACTCAGCCATGCACACTGCCACTTAGGCCCAAGAGGGAGAGTATCGAGGTTAATATGATAAGATTGTGGTGGCTCACTGTTACACATCTGGCAGTCCAGCGTATGAGTTGCGGGTTCAAATCCTGTTTTGTGCGTATATTTTATTTAATTCTTGATATCTCTCCCAAGTTTATTTCCATAGGTCAATTTACGTCACTGTATATGTTTATTTTTTTATTTTGTGCATACTTCAATTAATCTAATTGATATATTTAAAAAAAAATAAGAAAAGCATAAAGTTTGACATTAAACAAAGTTATAAATTTATACCAATTGTATAAAATCCCACTTTCCCTGGGAAAAATAAACAATTATAAAATATGCACTATGTATGTTTATCTTGATTTTAGCATGATTAAAAGTGTTATTTAATCTGTGGTTTTGGTGTACCTTGATTCACCGAAAAATCAGTGTTGGCGTTTCCCGGTTTGTGAACTCATGTGACCATAATGGGCAAACCGTCTGTGAAACTTGGTATATTTTCAACATGATTTAAACAACTATCTATACTTTCCTGACACATATTTTTAAGAACAATATCTAACATTTTCATAAAAGTCAGTCAAGTAGTTTTTGAGTATGTTACTAACATACATTCATTTTTTAAATACCCAGAATCTAGATTATAATATAAAAGTTGTATTTCTGTAACCAATGGCAACCCTATATAATATAAACAATAAAATATTCGATTTTTGTGAGGTATAACAAAATTGTTTCTGTAAGCAACCTATATTGGTTGTAAAATGAAGCTATAAATACACCCCGAGTCTCATGCAACATGTATGCAAAAATTGGTTCAGTAGTTCCGTTGATTAACGAGTAGAAGGAAAGATGATATGAATATTAAAAATTTTATTGTTATTTCATACATTTTAATCTTGAAGAATTAAATGTTAAATAACTTAGCATACGGTAATGAGTTCCACTTATGTCATTCTGTTTTATATTTTTAGTTAACGGTGTTAATGAGGTAAAACCAATATCGTCAGATCATGTTGAATCACAGTTTGAAAGACTCCGAAATTCATCAATTGAAAATCTTTGTATTGCATTAAGAGCAGCGTATACATTGGATCCTTTTTGTGTACCAGCACTTTTAGCATCTTTATCTAATCGATTGTATACTGCCGAAAAATCTAAAAAGTAATGTTTTTTTATACTTTTTTTATGTAGGTATTAATTATTATTAATTACCATTTTAGTGATTCATCGTTAATACAAGCGAATACTATAGTGATGTTAGGCCATATTGCAGTTAGCTTAAGAGATACTGCAAAGACATCGGATACTATTTTGCAATTTTTCCAGCAACGATTCTGTCGTGTTCCGAGTTCTATTGATGTACTTATTGTTGATCAGCTTGGATGTATGATTATTGCAAAATGTGATGTAAGTATTATATAGTTTAACTGACCAAGTTATTAGATTTGGAACTAAGTGTTAATTTTGAATATTTTAGATGAATGTTTACGAAGAGATAATGCGCATGTTTTCGACAATTACTGTAGAAGCTGGCAATGCTTTATACAGTCATGATCAATCAAATCAATATAGGTATTATAATTCTTAAGCATACTATTCATTTTCAAAATATTAATACTATCAATTGTTTTTTAGACATGTTTCAGGAGCAGTTATTAATGCCTTGGCTAATATTGCTGCTAATATTAAAGGTGAAAATGAAATGAATGAACTTCTTGTTAGATTATTAGAATTATTTGTACAGCTTGGTCTTGAAGGAAAACGAGCTTCAGAAAAAGCACCAGTTGCTAATAAAGTAAATCATTTTTCTAATAACATTAATACAGTTTACTAAAGGTTACATTTTTGATTTGTTAGGCGTCTAGTAGTGCTGGGAATTTAGGAATGCTAATTCCGGTAATTGCAGTACTAATACGTCGCTTACCAGCTATTATACAGCCCAAACCACGATTGCATAAGTTATTTAGGGATTTTTGGTTATACTGTGTAGTTATGGGATTTACAAATGACTCTGGTAAGAACAATTTTAATTATGAAAAATGTTAATAATATTCATTTTCATATTTTTAGGATTGTGGCCTAGTGAATGGTATGATGGTGTAAAAGAAATTGCTATTAAATCACCTTGTCTTGTTACTCAAACTTCAACTAGATCTCAAATGCGAGAGTTGCAGTATACTTCTGCTGTCAGAAATGAAAGTGTTTCTTTGGTAAGTTACTTCTTTTATTTTTGAAAATAAATAAGTTTTAAAGTATATAATACATATACATATATATATTCAGAACCAGCTTCAAGAACTAAAGTCTCAAATACTTCAACATCTTACTCCAGCTCCACCTGAAGTTACTGCAGCTGTGAATAAATTATCATTTGCACAGGCAACCTACCTGTTGTCAGTATATTATTTAGAAACTATGCGCATGCAAAACTCAAATGATCCAAGCCTACAGCCGATTTTTGATTACTTATCAGATTATGCTATTCAGAAAGATAAAACAGGATTATGGCATTGTGTCTCTAGCGTTGGCGATAAAGTATTTTCATTATTTTTAAATGCAATGTCTACACAAGCAAAAGATGAGACTAGAGAAAAAAAATTGGAATACCATGCTCAATTATTATTGGTTAATTTTAATCATGTACATAAATTGATTCAATGTGTGGCAGACAAATGGCTTTCTGGACTTGTTAGCAAGTAGGTGTTTATGTAATATTTAAATATATATACTCAATGTGAAAATGTTTGCAATTTTTATCAAAAAAAAAAAAAATGTTGATAGTCGTAATCAATTTAAAAACTATGAATACAACTTAACTTAATATTATAGGTTCCCACATTTATTATGGAACCAACGTGTACTTTGGACTATGTGTGACATACTTCAAGTCTTATCTTATTCCTTGGAATTGAATCCTAATAATGAGACTCCTTGCATTCAAATACCATCTTCCCCATTTACACTCATATTAATGGATACACTTGAAGCAAGAGAAGTAATTAAAAATTAAGAAATATGATTTTATAATTTATATATATTAAGAAAACTTATTGGGTTCTTTAAATTTATTTCAGAGTACTACTAATGACTTTGCAGCAAGGTCATTAGGATTCATTCAAGAAGCAATGAAATGGGCTCCTAGTGCTACTCGATCACATCTTCAACATTATTTAACTCAAATTCCCAGTTCATCGTATTGGCATCATTCAGGACTATCCTTAGCTACAGAAAGTGTCTTGCAAAGTAGCGGTCTTAATTTTCATGCAGCACCATTATCAGTACAAATTTACATTAATATAATACATGTAATAATAAATATATATGTTTAAAAAAAAAAATGTATTTGTTTTTTTTTTAGAAAATGACACTGGATAAAAGACCACGCTGTGTAAAAACTGATTCTTCCCTATACATCACGACTCTAGGGTTGAGAAGTCATTTTTCAGGTATTGTGGCTGGAATGATATCAGCTTATGAAAATAGTCCTGAACAATTAGTGGACAATGTAATTGCAAAAGTTTGGAGTGCTTGTAAAAATGATATTAATAATATGCATCATAATGCATTATGGACTGCTACAGCTTTACTTATATCAATTTCTGGTAATATATATTTTTTTATTATTATTTTATCTTTAATAAAATAAGTACATTTGTCATTTACAAAATATTAATTTTTATTCGACTACTTAGGATGTACTAGAAAACTGTTGCACGTTGTTGCATGGTCCCAAGTAATGTTATTCACTACTAAAGCAATGAGAACTGCAGTTGAATGTTGGCAATGGTTAACTACTTCCCGACCAGATTTGGAATTACAGTTCTTACAAGAAATGTTTGCTGCTTTTCAGGTATGAATATTATACATCTATCACTTGAGTTACACAATAGGCTTTTAAATGCCAAATGGTTTATTTACATTGAATTTGGATTTTTTTATAATGTAGTATACAATTGATAGTCGCATAGGTTTATTCGCAAAAGATATAGAACAAGTGAGTCCACTAGCAGTGTATGAAGGATGTACTTTGGAACCTAATCCTCATTTTGTTAAACCTCATGATGTTTGGGTTCAAGTAAGATTTAGTTGTTTAAAGTATTAAGTTTTTTTACTTAAATTTATTGGAAATATTTTTAGTATATATGTGAAGTGGTTGATAATGTGAAGTCTTGTAGTCAAGAAAAGGTAGAAATGTTAGCTATGATGTTACACCGATCATTACCTATGAGTGTTGGAACTTCCGATGCATTCATTAGTCGTCATATAGATGCTATTGGAACACGATTTAGGTAAACTTGAGGCAAATAAAATTTAATACTGAATTATTTTATGTTTATAATAATATTGTGTATTTTAATATCTTTAAAATGATAAGGTAATTAAGACTTCACATAAATGGTTAGTAATTAAGCATAATGTCAAAATAGAGTAATGACATATTTATATAAATGAAAAACTACTTAATTCTCTTAATACCTGGGTAAGCCTACAACTATTGCGTTGTTGAATTTTAAGTAGGTCTGGAGAATATTATGACCATACAAGGACTACATCATACTGATTATCAAAGAACATGGGTCTTCGATAGGATTTAAAAAAAAAAATTAATTTTCAAAATTACCAAAGATTTTATCCAATAACTCAACAATTGACATTTAACAAATTACCATACTTATGTTTTAGAAAATTATAAATTAATTATATATTTATATTTTTATATACAATATTGAGACAACTGTTTAACTTTTTATAATGTAATTCACTACTACATTAAAATTATAATTTAAAAAATACTTAAACAATTTTTGAAAACCTATCTATTTTAGATTATTACAATGCGGATTAACATTATTGCAAGGAGACGTGTTACCAAAGTCACTTGGAAAAAATATACTTCGAGAAAGAGTATATTGTGCTTGCTTTGATACATTTACGACACCTGTTCAATGTCCAACTCAACGTGGATCAGAATTACGAGATGACATACTTGCACTTACTAAATTCTGGCAGACAATGCATTCGGATAAGAAATATTTAATGGCCAGTGTTATTGGTGGTATGTATATACTTTATAGGCATTATTGATTTATATTCCTTGTACAGTGACAAAATGTTTTTGTGTATTGTTATAATTCTAGATTTTGACCTTCAGGGAGGTTCTTTGCAAACTCCTAGCAATACAATCTATGATCATCAATTAACAATTTCATCTCTAAATGAACTAACTGTATCCAGTATTGGTGCAGTTTCTGGAAATTCTGGTACATCTCAAGGCTGGATGAACACTGTACCATTATCATCATCTGCTACAAATACACTGAACAAACGTACAGCCAATAATTTAAGAATGAAACGTCAAAATGGCAATGCCAATCAAGATTTATATGTTAAAGATTACATAAAAAAACGAATTCTCATATTAGATCTTTTGGTAAGAATTTATTATAGATTTAGACTAATTTAGAACTAATTTTGACTTAAGGTTTTGTATAAAAATATATTATATTTATATGAAGTAAATAAAAACTAAAGCTTACAAATTATGTAAAAATTTCACATCATATTAGAAGATTAAAAAAATATATAGGATGGGTATATAAGAAAACGGGAAAACACACATGTCCACTATTAGTCATTTATTTTATTTTATAATAAGATAAATATAACACTATTTGTTTATAGGCTGTTCAAATTGAATTTTTGAGCACGTGGCAAAACCCTGCTAATCTGTCAGAACTTAATGTTCCTGGAGAAGAAATGGTAGCTTCTTGGAAGTCCAAAACTGTTCCTGATAAGTCCCTGCGTGAAAATACAAGACTTGCATGGGAAATCAGTCCTGCTCTTTGTGTATTTCTACCAGTTAGATTAAAAAATGCTGACTGTATTGTTAAAGAGGTATGCAGAATGGTTAGGGCAAGTCCAATGGTTGTTTCACATATACCTGAAGCCTTGCAATATTTGGTGACCACTGAGACTCTTTTAAGCGATGCTCCCGAAGTAAGTGAACATAAAAATATTTTTATAAAATATTCATTTTTTAAATTTATTTTATTCTAATATTTCAGCTTGTATACATGTTGACATGGGCAAGGGTTACTCCTGTTCAAGCATTATCATATTTTTCGAGACAGTATCCACCTCATCCAATATCTGCACAATATGCAGTCCGTGTTCTAGCAAGTTATCCAGCTGATGCAGTGTTGTTTTACATTCCACAATTAGTCCAAACTCTTCGTCATGATACAGTATGGAATTAATATATTATAATACTGTAATTTTATACTCATTACAAATTTGTAAATAATAGATGGGTTATGTTTTGGAGTTTATCAAATCGATTTCATTACGGTCCCAAGTAGTTGCTCATCAACTGATCTGGAATATGAAGACAAATATGTACATAGATGAAGAAATGCAGCACAAAGATAGTATGAAATTCAATCAACTAATTTTATCATTTTTTAATTTTTAATTTATTTATTTTTAGCTGCTCTTTATGATACATTAGATACATTAACTAATGCAATAGTTGATTGCTTATCAGGTCCTGCTAAAAAGTTTTATGAACGTGAATTTGACTTTTTTTCCAAGATTACTGATATATCTGGCAAGATCAGACCTTTTCCTAAAGGTGAATTGAAATAATATAATATATATATATATATTAATGAAGGCTAATTAATATTTATTTAATATATTAATAATTTGAAAAACATGAATTCCAGGACCTGAACGTAAACATGCATGTTTAGAAGCTCTAAGCAAAATTGAAGTTCAAGCGGGATGTTATTTGCCTTCAAATCCTGAAGCAATGGTTATTGATATTGACTATAACAGCGGCACTCCAATGCAAAGGTTTATAATCATATTTTATAAATAATTCATACTTCCCTAGTATTTGAGTAATTAACCAAAAACAACTTGAAATATTTTAGTGCTGCCAAAGCTCCATATTTAGCTCGGTTCAGAGTGAGAAAATGTGGTATAAATGAATTAGAACAAACTGCGATGGCTATATCTAATCAACAAACATCTGGTAAAACTGGGCAATTTGTTGATTCGTCTTCTATGATGGGCTTAGATACGTGGCAAGCAGCAATATTCAAAGTAAACTGTTATTATTATTATTATTATTTATGTACTTATTATTCAGTAACTGTTTAATACATGTTTTAATTAACATATTAAATTATTTTAGGTTGGAGATGATGTACGTCAAGACATGTTGGCTCTTCAAGTAATCAGTATTTTTAAGAATGTTTTCCAACAAGTTGGATTAGATTTATTCTTGTTCCCATATCGAGTAGTTGCTACTGCACCTGGTGTGAGTAATATTTAATATTATATTTTAATAGCATGTTGTTTTACACTTTACATGTTTAAACATGAAATGTCGAAATGATCGGAAATATAAAAAAAATACTAAATACTAATTCACAATCTATAAAAAGCCAAAACTTATTAGTCAAAGCTAACATCTTTTTGAAGTTTCTACATTAAATGCCACGCTCTAAGAGAACCCCATTCTGGTTATAATGGAGTTTCAGGGTTTTTTTTTATTAATTCTCTAAAATATAGAAGTAACTCCCATAATATAATATTTCTGTTTAAACTCATTGCTTGAATGATTCCTTGTCGAGCGTCTACAGTTTAAAGTTTCTATAATCAATACTCAAGTTAAAGATTTGTTCTACTTAAATACTAGGTTTAAAAAAATACTAGAAACTTTTCTGATAAACATATTAATGGGAGCAGGTAATACAACTGTTGTTGATTATTTTAGATATGTTTATATTGTTTTAATTACTCAAATCATGTTTAAAGTTAAAAATTTAAAACTTATAATTCATTTTTATTTGTTGTAACATAGGTTATTTATTAATTGTTATATACTGTTATAAATATTATTATTGTAAATGTAGTTGATACCCGTCATAAAGATAATTATTATTAAGTTTATATTTTAATATTACAGTGTGGTGTGATAGAATGTGTTCCAAATGCAAAATCGAGAGATCAATTGGGTCGTCAAACTGACTATGGAATGTATGAATATTTTATCAAAACTTATGGCGACGAAAACACAAAAGAATTCCAGGTATAATTCCAGATTGATATTAGTGGTCAAAACAGTGATACAATGCAAACTATTTTTATTTTTTAATATTCAAACATGTACATTATTTGTTTAAATTTTTCAACTTTTTCTTCATTATTCATTCAAAGCTGAATATATTTATTAATTGTTGACGTTGGCTTTAAGTAACATTGTAATTTACCTAATCGATAATCGACCATAGAAGTAATTTTGACTTTATATCATGCATAATTTTTTACCATAAATTAGCTTAGTTCATTTCTTAATGACGTGAACCCTATGAGTATTTTAAAATTGTAAATTGTTTGTACATTTTAAAGTACTCATAACTCGCTTAAAAATTAAAACATAATAAAAATCTCATGAGGTTGTCTAGATAATAATCTTACCTTTAGATTTTATAAGAGGTCAATCTACTCTAAATTTTGAGCTAACGGAGCTACACGTGTTCTGCATTGTATATAATTTTCTATGTTATGCACTTGTAAGACGGAGACAACACCTGCGGGTATCACATCCTCTTAATTGTTGGTTATTAATGACATTTATATTATGTAAATTATTTAACTCTTCATTTTTTGTTGTCATATTAATTAATTCTGAGATTTGTAGTGCTATTTTTTGTACTTAAACACATTTTATAAAATTTTAATTAATTAACTAATTCAGCTCAATTAATTCAAAATTTAAGTATTTTTTCATTTTTGTCAGTAAAATCAATCATACAATTATTATTTATGCATATCTATATTCTTAATAAAAATGAATTGATATTTTTTATTTTAGAATGCTCGACGCAATTTTGTCAGATCGATGGCCGCTTACAGTGTTATTGGATTCTTATTGCAAATAAAAGACAGGCATAATGGAAATATAATGTTGGATACTGATGGGCATATTATACATATTGGTTAGTCATAATGTTTGTATTCACGTCCATGCTGAAAAAATGATTATAATTTTACTTATGTCATGATAATTTGGTTTTAATTTTTAATTCTAATTGAAAAAAAGATGAGTAAAATATTATATATTATGACTGGATATTAGATATTAATATTTAGTTTATAATATTTTATTGAAATTTATTAGCTTAATATTTTTTTCAGATTTTGGATTCATGTTTGAGTCGTCACCTGGAGGTAATTTAGGTTTTGAACCAGATATTAAACTCACTGATGAAATGGTGATGGTAATGGGTGGAAAAATTGATGCTCCATCCTTTCGATGGTTCACTGAATTATGTGTTCAAGCCTACTTGGCCGTCAGGTAGCTGAGATAATTTAACATAATAAATACCTCATCATTAATTTATTTTCCTTGTGTTGCAACTTGCAGACCTTATAAGGAAGCGATTATATCATTAGTGTCTCTAATGCTTGACACGGGACTGCCTTGTTTCCGTGGTCAAACTATCAAACTGTTACGAGCTAGATTTGCTCCTCAATCAACTGATCGGGAAGCTGCAGTGTACATGATGAGTGTCATTCATAAATCTTTCCTCAATTTTAGAACAATTGCATATGATTACTTACAACTCTATCAAAATCAAATCCCATGCTAAAGTGATTATTATACCAACTACCGTTTGTTATTTTTAGCTTTATTGTGCCACTGTTAATAGTTAATTTAAATTTCATTAGATGCTATGGAATTATTTTATTTTGTATTTTCGTAATCTATTATTATTTTCGTTATAGGTTTTGTGGAATTAGTAAATGGTTTATTTATATCTTGAATGTTTAATAAATATCTACTCTTTTGAGTTGTAGTTACCAGATATTGTGTTTAATATTTTTTGATAAGTATTCAAAATATTCATATTTTGACTTAATTTATTAAAATCTCGAAAAATATCAATTATTGTAATTAAACAATATTATAAAATGTTCAATTTTTATAGCTAAGGATTTAAAGGTTAAAACAAATATTCTCATAATCAGTTGTAACGATTGTTGTCCTCGACATCGTACATTCATTCTTTTAGTAAATTTCATAGGTATTAAAACCAAGAATAACGTTTTTAGTTATTTTGTTGTGATTTAAAAATATTATTTGTTGGTATATGAAACGTTTAGAGTATAATATTATATTTTATAAGTCTACACAATGACATTTTAAAATGTGTGATTTTTTGGCAAAAATGAATTTAACCTACTTTAGTAGATACCTACTAACGTCTAATACTAAATAATTAATCACATAATAATGTCATAAAATATACCTACTTAGTAATATTATAGGCTGAAAGCCGGTCTTCGCTCAGATTCGTTTTTCGTGTACAAATCATTGAATCCAAATTTAACACCATCCGTTACATTAACCCACTCGGGCCACTTGTAACAAACTGTACAGCAGAGCGACAATCCACTAACCCGCTTTCTTACTATTTGTGTCTGTCATCACCTTTTGGAGTAGTAAAAATGCTTTGATATTTTACATCAGCATCTTTTCTGGTATTTGGTAGGAACTAGTTGTTACCTACTTTGTGGGGTCAAGAGTATAAAGTAGGTATCACTATTTTTTTAAATTCCATTGCCTAGGTACAGTAAAATTTATAATAAAACGTTAAAGTCCCCAGTTATTTATGGTTATCTATTAATAACTATACATTCACCTGACCAAAAACACCTATCATTATTATAATATTGTATTGATATATTTGATGCGTGACAAAAACGTTGCTAGTATTTAGTTATTACTTTGCATGGGCCCTCACCGGAACATGTTTAGTGGAAACCATTATTCTGTGGAAATAAATAAAAATATAAAAAAATACACTCTAATACGTAAAAAAAGAAACAATGTTTTGTTTTTGTATAGACAATTTTATTGTGTATTCAACAATTAATGTAATTTTACAATATATTTATTATAGTTTGAGTACAATCAAAAGTTTAGATTGTTTAACGGCTCAACACCAGACAAGAGTACAAGACACAATAAGCAGTGGGGGGGGAGTGGTACTTGATGACGAGGTGTTTGTACCTCAGAGACGCTTGGACCAGTCGAGCAGGGCCACGGACTACAGCAGGCCGAAGACCAAGTGCAGGTACAAAATGAAAAGCCACACACCATTCCATCTGTAGGAGTCGAAGAAAGGGACACGACTATGCTGGACGGAAAGAAGGCACAGGACACAACCATCTCTGCAGTACCGAGCAAAAATTCACGTGGTAGGATAAGGCGGTTATTCGCCGCCACGTGGAAAGGCGCGAAGCGCCTGCTGCTCTGTGGTTGTTGCAGAAGGACGTGAAGCCAGCAGCGTAGTACTCCGCTTCCCCAACAGACAAAGACACTAGACAAGACGGCGGCGACGGGGGAGTGGTACTTGAAAGAGCACTTTATGGTGTCGGGGGGTAAGTCCCACTAAGTACGTTCTCCGGCCACCCGCAGAAAGACGAGACCGCAGTTGCCAGATTCGCAAGCTTGCGGTTGCCGACACTCGAGACCATCAGCTGACGACTCGGCTCGGGCCCAGGCTGCTTCCCCAACAGACCAAGACACCTAGACAAGACGGCGGCGACGGGGTAGTGGTACGTGAAAGAGCACTTTACGGTGTCGGGGGGTAAGTCACCCTATAAGTTCTCGAGGCACATCCCGCAGGCGGACGAGTGCAGTGGCCAGCGCGTTTGTTCGCGGGCGACAACCATCATGACGGCTGGCGAAGTCCCGACCGCGACGGCCACGGGAGCGATGAGACGAGTTGATGGCGAGCCGGTAGTGCGCATTGACGATGCGCAGGTACTGAAGACGACTGACGCGTGACGACGGCGACGTTGACCTAGAAAACACTGAGCGAGCAAAGGCAGCTGTCGGTGCTACGGAATTGACTGATTGCCACTGGGCGAAAACGGGAGAGACGCGTTGGACCACGTCGCAAAGGTCCCGATCCTCTCCTCGAGATTTTCGCCCTGACTCGACCGCGTCACCATTTTCAATAAAAAAATCTACCGGACAGTCAAATTAAATTTTTATGAGCGTTTGAAATTCAAATTTTGGATGTTCACTTGATTTCTCATGTAGCGATTTCCTTATTTTGTTGTTATTCATAAACGAATAACTATAGATACATGAAAATTTCACTGAATGTTTATATTAGCATTTCCTTAACTTATCATTTTGAATAGTTTTTTCTGTTAAGTTTCTGGACATTTTAGTTTGAAGTCTTTAATGTGTGGTCCTATTGTTTAATTTCTAATTTTTTTTTTTTTTAAATTTAAGTATAGTGGAAATATTTGTATAGACATGAACATTGATAACCTGCAGGGGCCCTATGAATAATCTTTCTTTAATGAACTAATCATTTTGAATGTTTTTTTCCTGTTTAAGATTCTGTACATTTTATAGTTTGACTCTTTTATGTGTGGTCCTATTGTTTAATTTCTAATTTTTTTTTTTGTTTTCTAAAACGCACTTGCCTTCGGGCACTAACACCCCCCTTCAATTTTTTTTTTTTTTAGTTATTTAACTCTAGTTTTATATTTTGTTTAGATGTGAACATTGATAACCTGCACTAATTATTTTAAATAGTGTTATCTGTTTAAGAATCTGGACATTTTAGTTTGAATTCTTTAATGTGTGGTAATATTGTTTAATTTCTCCTAATTTTTTTTTGTTATCTAAAAGAATGACTGACACAATTAGTACCCCACAATAGGTACCCTAATTATATTGTACAATTAATCTATTACTACTTAGGACGCGTATTTAATCACAATATCATATATAGGTATGTATAATATAAATATATATTTCATTTATAAATATAGTAATTTAATAATATTTAATTTGATCATATATACCTGAAAAATAACGGTTTCTTCTGAAGATTATAACTGACTCTTATTTAACTACGCGATTACACCCTTCATAGGTCGTCTGGTCCAGATACGGTCATATCGTATACATAGATAGAATAATATAATAAGTATATATTTTCATATCTTAAATCGATCACAGATTGAATCGCAGACACGATGTATCATTAATGGGGATTAATTATTTTATGGCACTTAAATAGGTAAATATTTTCTCCTAGCTCTGCATCACATATTAGCATCTAATTATTATACTAATTTTTAATCTTACGCTATTAAAATATGTGATCGATCAAGTAGGTACAACAATAACTCGTGGTCTTCAGAACAAAATAAATTACAGGTAAGTAACATAGATTTAATATTTTAATATTATCAACCTATATAATTATATTTAACATTTAAATTGTATGACGTCTTTTTTTTTGGGAATGACACGTATATAGATACCTACGTATTATATACCTGTCAAATTATATCGACTTACCGTCGATCGAGATGACTTGGAACGATTTTGACATATTTCTTGTTATTCTGAGCTTAAAAAAAATCGCACTGGACTACAAAAAATATATAAATGTTTGCATACGTCTCATGAATAGGATAAGACCTTTCATTTAGTTTTTTGACCAAAACTGAACTTAAATAAAGACATCTGTAAAATTTACAATATAGACCGAGCTTACACTTTTTTTTAAACTTATTAGTCCAATGAGTAAAAGCCGAAATTTTTTTATTCCAGTCTTAGAATTTTTCAAATGTTTGAAAGTCGAACAATAAAATTTGGGTCTTTAATATTATAATGGTTTTTTCGGGTTTTTATTTTTTTTAAACTTTTACTCCTGATTAACATCTGACCCCGATGAGTGAGATAACCAATGACTAGACACTCTAAATCAACATTTCTTTACAAACTTTTTTTATACTTTTATCATATTGTAATCAAAAACATTAGACACACTCGTAGATAAATACTCCTTCTGCACTTTTTCACCCGATAAGAGTTTTTGTTTAACAATTGCTATTTGTGAATAAGAAAAAAGATCACAATTTTTAGGGGTGTTACCTGGGCTGACCAAAACAATTAACTCAGGTGTCTGATTTATTTGAATGTTACAATGTGTTTCGGTTGTGGTTATTTTAAATTGTAGTTTTATTAAAATAAAAATGGGTTTTTATGACTGGAGCATGTATTTGAATTTGGGTGTCTCTGGCTTGAATGCTTGTTTCTTCTGGTATCGTGAATCTGTCGTCCGTTTATTTATATATGATGCTATAACGTTGATGATGCCAAATATTTGTGAATATTGTATAGGTACTTGAAGTGAGCAATAAATAACTAAGAATAAAAGCCGTCATTATAAATTATAATATATTAATATCGAACAAGTCGTATAGTAATGACCATCGAATAGTTTAATAATGAGTTATCAATCGCAGAACAAAATCATATTAAACTTAGTAGGAAAAAAATCTTGTTGCCTCCTGCACAGTGCACAATCGTCCATGCTATTAGAATATGAATTAGTATTTAGTAATGACTAAAAGTAATATACAGGTATATGTCTGTATAGTACCTAATAATTATAGTAATTAATAGAATATGTAGGTACCTATATAGTATATAGTAGGGCTGGTGGTATTTTCGGTATACCGATAAATACCGGTATTTAAGAAATACGGGTATCCGGTATTTTCGGTATTTCAGAATACCGGTATACCGTGATTCGGTAATTACCGTCAT